ATCCCCTCCCCTCCCACAGCCTCATGGCTTGAATTCCTTCTGGTGAGCTCCCTCTCTTCTGGCTCATTCTCATCAGCATTTAAACAAGCTCAAGTACTTGCCGGCTTATATAAGCAAGAAACCCCAATCTTTCTTCACATTGCCCTTACTCTTCATGATCACAATCTTCTTGAATCATTTCAACTCATTGGCTCCACTTCCTTGCCTTCCATTTAATCAAACATTCATTCAAAAACTAACTTATATGCCAGGCACTGTGTTGGATCTGGGGATCCAATGGTGAGTAAAATGGACACTGTCTCTATCCTCTTAGAGTTTATTGATTTTTAGAGAGAAGAAGAAAGAGAGAGAGAGAGAGAGAGAGAGAGAGAGAGAGATATGAGAGAGCACATGCCCCTGGGTTCAAACCTGAAACCTAGGTATGTGCCCTGATGGGGAATTGAACCCGAGAGCTTTTGGTGTATGGGATGACGCTCCAACTAACTGAGCCACCTGGCCAGGGCTATATACTCAGATTTATAATCATAAAGGATAATGAGTGTCATGAATGAAAAGGTCAGGATGCTATGTGAGAATAAAACAGTGAGTTATAACCTGGTTAGAAAGGTCAGATCATCTGAGCTAGATCTGAAATATGAGAGCATTAACCGGGCAGAGAATGAAGAAGAATAATGGCCACTAACATTAATTGGGAATTATCCTTCTAGCACTTGACATATTTCATTTAATTCTTATAACAACTCTGAGGATTGACTCCATTTTACAGAAGAGGAAACAGAGTCATTGAGAGGTTGAGTGACTTACCCAGTGTCATTGTAGCCAGCAGGGGTAGAGCTGGGATTTTAATTCACCCAGACAGTCTGACACTTGAGTCATGTTCTCAGCTACGGGGACACAGAGTGTGTGGGTACCAGGCCTGATGCTGCAGGATGCATGGGGTATGTGAGAAATGGAGAGAAGGGCAGTGGGAGGGGACACAGAGGGCAAGAGAGAATGTGTGATGAATTCAGGCCAGGAAGAAAGGGTCTGTTTTATTTTTCTGCAGAAGCTTCCTGCAGAGACAGAACCTGATAAACCCAAAGCTCAGAATTTATGCCATCAACTGTTGAATTGGAAAGAATGTGTAAGGTTCCCATCCGCACGGAAAATATAATCTTTTTAGAGCTTGGAGCAGAACTGAAAAAGATTGAGAGAGGAGAGCAAGAGTTTAGATGCAAACAGTAGTGGACAGAAGAGGCTTATGCTCCATATAATTCCTGGAACTCACAGCCTTTCAAAGTACCCTATGCCAACAGGGGCAATCACCACAGAGTACAAATGGCACTGTCGCCTGTGTAGGCACAGCAGGTCTGAGATAAATTCCATCTCCTCACCACCTCCAGCCTTCTCACCTCCTAAGCCTGATTCTCCTTGGCTCCTTGATGTTTGGAGGCAATCTGGAAAGTTCCTCAGTTCCGCCCCCCCCTCCCCCCCTGGAGGAATATGAGAGTGACCTGAAAATTGAAAGCCAGGGTGCCTGCAGGGCTTG